CATTTTTTTTATTTTTGACTGACAAACAGGACTGACGAACAGGTTGAAACCATCACCATCTGCAGTGAGCCAAAGGTTGAAACATATTTATGGTAATTAAAATTGATTTGAAAAGTTTAGATTGTCTCTGTGGTCGCACACTCTCTTCAAAATTTACAATGTTTCAGAGTCGGAGTACCGGCTTTGATTCCTACGCAGTCTCCGGTCGGTCGTATAGAGCGAATTTTGGCAACAGATCATTCTGGTAACCCATTTGTACAATGCCGAACAAAATAATAGCACTGGAAAATCATGCCGAGATTTTATTATTTGTACTTTGTTTACTGCTTTCCTTTCAGAGAATTGTATCTTTATGATTATGAATATTTCAATAAAAAACGAATGTAAATATATTTATTTATTGCCTTACGATACTGCTTTTTGCCCTATTTGGGCAAGCTCACATCCCTACATCCTTTAAGATGTCTAGATTTTGGTTCTATTACTTTGACCGCAGATGTACTTACCAACAGCCTGCATGTGGACAAAACTTTCTAATTAAAGTTGCTGCAGCCCCGCACTGAAAAGTTGACAAGTTCTCACGTGTGTTTGTATTTGCAAAGGCGAGGACAAAGTTTTGGGTGTCGGCTTTTAGGCGCACTGCGTAATATATTTTACTTTGGCTGATGATGTTGTTTTTGCCTTTGCTGCGGTCTCGATTATGCAGGGAATTTAAGTCTGATTTTAATTAGCTATCCGAGCAATTAGGCGAGCGTCAGGCGCTTGATAAAAACGTTCGGAACAAGGAAAATAAAACAGAGTGTCATTAGAAAGTGCAGAAAAATACCTCTTTTTCTAAAGCCAAATTTCTAAATTTCCTTTTAATGTCCTTAACATATAGTTCTTATTTTGATTAGTTTTTTTTTTAATATCCTTAACATATAGTTGTTATTTTGTTTATTTTTTCTTAAAAAGTTATACAAAATATACAAATTTTCTTTGGATTTTATCCTGGTAATGCACTTTATTATTCAATCCTAGATTTCATTTACAAGTTTCAAGTACAAAAGGCGAAAATTTCCCCTTTGAACGCACTTAAGTTTAAGCCAAGTCGGACCTGAAAAGAGTAAGGGACTGCACCGAACTCAAATCGAATAAAAATACAACTGGCGAACTGGGCAGGCAGTGGTAAATGAAAATAGAAGACAACGACTACCCGCTGCTTTGCTTTCGAGGCTGCAATATTTTTAAGTTTCCCATTCAAATTGAATTAAATAATATGCACTCGACTCGCAAACAGAACTTTCCCCGAACTTAACTTTCGCTGAACTCAACGGGGGATGGGATGGAAAAGCAAGGATGGGTTGAAAACGGAAAAGGGTAAGCAAAATAAGGCAAAGAATCTGAGGAGGTTGGCTCCAACTTTCATAATTCATTTCTGCCTGAGTGTAACAATTTTTGCACTTTATGACTTTCGAGTGCGCGCTGTGCGAGTGCCTTGAGTTTGACTTTGGGGCCCGCAAATCATGCAATTGCACCAGCAACTATGGCAGCAACTACAACTGCAACTCTCGGCGGGAACTTTAAGTTGCAAACATTTTGGGTGCATCCTGCTTCTCCGAGGGGTCACCCTTCTCGCCTCATTTTTGTGCTAATTACAGGGGCAGGACGCGGCTGCAGACGGTGCATTCCACTTGGCAACAGCCGAAAACAAACTTGCGGCCAAGAACAACAAACAGGCAACCAGAAAACGACGATAACCGTAAAGGCCAGCCCCACAGGGAAAAAATAACAAAAATTGAAGGAAGTCTTGGCTGAAGAATGCGACTAGGGAATACCATTCAAAATCGTTTTTCAATATTAAAAAAAAAAAAATTATATCCAAAATACACTTAAAAAGGATATATGGGACACACCCTTTTATGAATTTATATGAAGCTTTTATGTAGAGAAATTCCTACGATTTTAAATGGTTCCAGTAAACAACTCCCTCAAAAAAAGTCAATCCTCTTAAAAAAAAATAATGCATTCTTATCTCATGTATATACATAAATTACCAAACATTTAATATACCCCTGTTTCAATACTGAGTATAAAACAAGGAGCGAAAGCGAAAACGAAAAGGCAAACAAAAGACCAGCGACAGGCCAAAAGGCAAGGCCAAAAACTTGACCAGGAAGTTGTAAACGGCCAAACGGCATTGGGGCAGGAGTCCAGTCCTGTTTATGTTCCCGATGAGGTTCCAGCTCAAGCCGGTCCAGAGAGCAAAAAGGGCTGGAAGGCAAAACAAAGCCGCCAGTAAGTTGGTGGGCAAGAGCAAACAGATTGGCAGGCGAAAAGACCTCGGGCCGGGCCAAAAGCGCTAGTACATGCTCTACCAAAACAGGTAGGAAGTCCGGCTAAAATGCTCACCACTTGTTTACCTGGAAGTGCCGGTCAAAATAAAAAACAACAAGAGGCAACCTCTGGGCTCACAAAAAAAGCTCCAATTCAACCAACCGAAAAGTTTTGCCTTCTGCCGATCATTAAGGAAGCTTAGCTTCTTATCATAAGTCGTAGTTCTATCTTGAAAACAAAAAATTTGTAGCCGTTTTAGATTGTAAGAGGGTTTCAAAAATGAATTTTCTTTAAATTTAAAATATATTTAAATATATTTTTTTATATATTATTAATTTTTTATTTTAGTACTTTACTTCCTCACAATTTTCTATAGAATTTAAGTAAGCTTAAACTTTTCGTGAAACAAGTGCAGACAGCTTAGAGCAAATGTTGACAGTGTAATTCCCTCTAACTGAAAGTTACCCAAAGGCAAATAGAACTTCAACGGTTCATTAATTATGCCAGCCGCAACATTAGTGCCTCAATTGATTTGGGCAATCCTTCATTTGCGCTGCATCAACAGGACTTGGTTTTCTCAATAAGACTGGGAGTAATACATTTAATGGAATATTCAAATTTTTGAGGGTCATGTATTGACACATGTGTTATTTCGATTTAAAAGAATATCCTTGTAAGTTTGGGGTTCGATTGCGTTGGCATATCTGCCGTCCATAAACATTGTTTATGTCACGCATTGACACGCGTCGTCCTTCTCGGTGGAACAACAGAATTTTTCGATTTATATGTATATACAAAGACAATTGAATGCGCGGAGTACCCAAAGGACCCTGCTCCTGCAGACGGAGTTCGATGTTCGGTTTCGGTATTCGGTGCCCGCTACTCGGAATTCCCCTTATCGCAGGCCCACTCCCACATAAATATAAATAAATACATACGAATAAATAACTGAAAAGGATATGGGTGCCGGGAAATGGAGTCGGAGTCGGTCATGGAGCACAATCGAGAACAATAACAATGCCGCAAATAAAAGAGGAGCCACGGCAATGGGTTGGTTAAGTGAAAACACTTGAACAATTCAGCCGGGCTCAGTTGGGGCCGAATAAATAATTCGCTTTTGATGAATTTGAGGCACGTGAATTCTCAATAAAATACCCATACAATAATTAAGGTAAACGGGGTGGTGCAGTTGTGGGAAACGGATTTCGAATATTTAACAGGTAATACATATGTTTATCTACACTTTAAGCTTAAAGATAACCTAGCTTAACAAAATTATTAACTAGAACAACATTAGATTAACTATTTTATTATTGTGTTTCTTCAAAACCACTACATATTGTTAATTAACTAATAACTTCCTAAAGCTGTTAATATTGTTTTAGTACAGACAAAATAATAATAATAAATAATACAGACAAATAATTTCCCCATTCCCGTGATACAAAAAGTTAATTAAAAGAACAACTCTAAAACAGTTAAACCAAATACAGCCTTTGAAAATTATCTTATTTTTTATAACCATTAGGTTTTATAACCAAAAAATCTGATTAATTATATCTTTAATACCTGGCGATCCAAATAACGTTCGCCAAAGAGCACTACACTGCGTTGATGAAGTGATAAAAATCTTTTAAAAATGAATCCACTTAGGCCAAATACCAAATACCTCGGGCAGCAGAACACAAAGTTTAAAACTATTTGCCAACGCTTATCAGAAAATACCACACGAATCTTAACAATGGGCTGCTGAGCAATTAATCTCGTGGAACCAAACCGAACAAAACAAAACAAAACACAGCCCGAGAAATCCGGTTGCCTCTAATGCGGCTCATAATTTATGAGCCTTCGCACGCACACAAAAAGTCTCGGCGTTAGGAATCAACGCTTACATAATTTGCATAAATTGGAGATGTATCAACCGAAATTGAGGTAATAAAGCCAACAGCCGACGGAGGGCCCTATCAAGTTCTGGGCTTTGATGACGGAGATGCTGATCTGCTATCGGGGCACTTGTAATTGGCACTAATTTGCTTTCACTCCATCAAAGAATCCCCCCACGATTTAAATGCAAATGAGGGCGTTCCACTGGATAGCGGAAAACAGGTTGGCTGCAGAGCGAATACTATTAAAATCAATTAAGAAATGGAAATAAAATCAATCTCCGAGCATGGGCGAACATCCTCTCGTATGAGGAAGCGAAACAAACCAGCTTCGCCTTTTATCACAATTTATGCAAGACGCTGACAAAATGTTAATAATTACATTCGCTCTCACCGAAATTAAGTTGAGCACTCGCAGGTGTGGGACAACCCTCAAGAACCAGATACGAGACATGAGATACGAGATCTTGTATCTGCGAGATGCGACCGTGAACCCCAAGAGTTCAGCCGTTAATCAGCTGTTTCGGCATCTTGAGGTGCTGCATTCTGCCGAAACTGAAGAGTGGAAATCGTCGAAGAAACCACTTAATTGGCCAAGAGCAAACTCCGCTCTCCTGCTCATCTGCCATCCCAAGAAAAATAAAAATAAACTAAAACCCCCGTCTTAATCCGGTTATTAAACTTTACACTGCGCAGCAAGATCGTGTAACTTCTCCCGCGATTCCGTTTCGAAATGGATTGGTTTCATCGACTATAAAAATGCTGCGCATGCTCAGTGACGCTTTTAGTTCGTTCAAAAATTTCAAAGTGTTCGGTGCGGGACACGAGTATTCTCACGGATAATAAACAGCAAATAGGATCCCTAGCAAATATGTCGCTCAAATACGTAAGTGGGCAACTCTTCTGTATAATCGTGAATTTCTAATTGCTCCAAATGTATATGAAACTGGTGATCAGAGCTGGTCTTTCCTGAAATAGTCTTCATAGGAATGCAGCAAATTGTTCTAATTAGCTATCTACGTAAGCATCATTAGTGAAATTCCAGTTTGCCGCATAAATTACAATTTGCAATTTGTTCTGGCAAAAAATTATCATAATACAATAATTTTTTAGGTGAAGAAATCAAATTTTAAAATTCATCGCCAATTAAATATTTTATTAAACAATCCCAAAGGACTGGCAATCTGACTTTGACTATTTTATATATAACTCGGAGCAGTTATTTATTCAGTGCAATAAATGGCTTTATTATCTGAGGTGTGAATCTGCGAGCCATGAGCATAAGATGACGTATAATTTCTTTCTATTCAAACAGCGAATTTGCATAAATTTGAAGCTCGATTAGTTTCATTATAGTCGCTATGTTAATCATGGCCGGAGAAGGTCTAATGACCTTTCCCACAAGGGAAAGGAACGTTTGCGTTAGAATATAAATGCGAATAGAACTGACCATAAAAAATCCAGTTTAGCATGTGCCAAACAATGCAAGGCTTTTGCCGGTTTGAAGGTCGATACAAATCAGGTCGAAATAATTTTAGCGCTCCCACACTTTTAGAGCTAAAATTTGGAAATTGGAACACATTTGGAATGGCTGTGACCATATTAAACAATCGGGCGATAACTTAGGAAATTGGTCAAGAAATTAATTTGAGTTATTATGCAAGGCAGTCTTTTCTTTTAGATATTTCCACGCTTTTTACAATTAAATGTTAATTTTAACAACTTTTAATATGATCTTAAACGCATTTTCAGTAGTTTGAAATTACAAATGTAAAATGTTTGTATTGAATAACTTGAAGCGATCTTTTTAGATTCACATTAGAATTGAGTTTATCATACTCAAACAAGAAAGGAAGCTAGCTTCGGCCAGCCGAAGCTTAAATACCCTTGCAGATCATTCCTATTAATTAACAAATCGCAAAAATGTTCAATTAATTTCATTAATCTCAGTAATTTTCCGATCGTTCCTATGGCAGCTATATGATATAGTCGTCCGATTTTGATCAAATTAAAATTGAAATTCGGAAATATTTAAAAAGAGTCATATCCTAGAGTAGAAGATAATACAATAAAAACCAAGGAAGCTAAAATTTATTTCCTATTACTTTTCCATTAATTTTCCGATCGTTCCTATGGCAGCTATATGACACATTAGTCGGATTTTTTAATTATTTAATTCGAAATTCAGAAATATTTAAAAAATAACATCCCCAAAAGTAGAAGGTAATATTTCAAAAAACACCGAAGCTAGAATTTTTTTAACGTTTTCTTTTCCGATCCTTCCTATGGGAGCTATAAGATATAGTTGTCCGATCCGGTCGGTTCCGACATATATACTACCTGCACAAGAAAGAAGACTTTTGGGAAAGTTTCATCCCGATAGCTCAAAAACTGAGAGACTAGTTTGCGTAGAAACAGACAGACGGACAGACGGACAGACGGACATGGCTAAATCGACTAGTCTAGTGATGCTGATCAAGAATATATATACTTTATGGGGTCGAAAACGTCTCCTTCACTGCGTTGCAAACTTCTGACTGAAATCATAATACCCTCTGCAAGGGTATAAAAATAAAACAAATAATCTTTTAGCTTCTGATGCATAGCAGCCTTCTTTCTATTCAAAATAATACAGATTTACTTTTCTGCACCAAATAATATAAATTAAATTTTTTATTCCGCAGTTACTAATTGCTTCTGCCGTGCTGATCGCTTTGAGTGCAGCTGATGTGTCGGAAATAAAGGCGAATAAGGTGGATCTGCCGTTTAACGACTTACTGCCACCTCTACAGGATGAATCGAGCACCAGTACGACGACCACAACTGTGAGGCCCGCCACAACGTTGGCCACAAAGCCCACCAAGAAATCGTATTACCAGAAGCCAGCTAACCTGGCCAAGGAGGAGAAACCGAAGACCATTGCTAGCAAACAGGATGTGGAGCAACTGCCCCTGGATCTGCTGCCACCCTTCGAGGATGTGGCTCAGCCATCGGAGTCCAAGCCTCAGACCGTGGTGAAGACTACGCCAAAGCCTGTGATCAGGGTCACTCAGCCACCAGTGGTGAGGGTCACTCAGCCACCAGTGGTGAGGGTAACTCAGCCACCAGTGCTTAAGGTCACTCATCAGGCTGCTCCTCGTTCACAATACTCTGTTCAATCAGCACCAGCACCCCGGCCCCAGTACTCCGTTCATCCTGCTCCCCCAGCGGTACAACCTGTCCACGGTTCTGCTGTAGGAAGCGGGTTCCAGTCCCGATTCTCCAACTACTTCCTCACCAGCACCGTTCGCCCAAGACGCGGTCCTTTGCCCACGATCACTCCCTTCCCGCGCTTTGTCAGGCTGTAGGAATCCATTTAATTAGATAAGATAAGCAACCATTCAAAGGCCAAGTCAAAACATAAAATAAATAAGATACGAAACACACTGAGATAATGAGTGGAAACTATGCGGTATTATTTAAAAGCGACTGTTTAAGCATGAAACTCACACAAAATATTCCAAGATTTCAAATGTTGATGGATCTTAAATAATTTATGAATGCATAAAAGTGAGCATTTTGGATCACAGAGGCATAGACATCTGTTGGCGCTCTGCGAAGTCAGGTTATCTGTTTTAAATTAACACCTTTGTACAATAATTAAACTGGGTAAGCTCCACTCAGTTACAGATTACATAAAGAGTAATTATTAAAAAATATTCTCATAATTAAAAAGTGAATTTTCTTAAGTAAATTCAGCTTTAAAAGAAAGTAAGTACTTGGAACGTAAGAGTTTTAAATAATATATTGCAGTGTAAAAAATATTTTAAATAAATGAAAAAAAAATTTTAATTATTAAAATAAAATAAATAATACCAGAGTCAAAATCTGCCAAGTGGGCCACCCCTGTTCCGAAGGTCCGATTTTCATCGAACTTTTTTACTTTTCCGGTTCACAACGAAAATATAAGAACTTCATTTGAACGGTTTTGCGAAGTTTTGAGTTTTACCGGAGTTATAGGGGTCAAAACATGGCATTTTTGACACTTTTTCGAAAAAGTTGGACTCAGTCATTAATTCATAACTTCGGAACGGTTAGATTTATCTTTATGATGTTTTCACTAATCGCTCAAGAATTATTATGGCTTTCCATAAAAAAATTTAAAAAAAAATTAAAAATTTTTGTTCTTAAAAATAAATCAACATTTTTTTAGTTTTATTTTTCAGTGTTCTTCACCAGCTATAGAGTTTAAAACCATTTGAAAATAAAGTTTGATTCATTACGAAAAGATCCAAAAAAAAAGAGTGGCCCGGCCAAGGTTTTTGCAATATCGATTTGAAGAAGGGCGCACAGCGGTTTCCCATACAAAAACGGCTTGCTCGTGAAAACTGGCTGGTCAACACATGCCGTAGCGAGCGTAGCGTCAGCTGTCAATGGGGGACTTTTTGCCGTTTTATATGGTAATCCGCTGTGCGCCCTTCTTCAAATCGATATCGCGAAAAACCTTTGGCCGGGCCACTTTTTTTTTTTTGGATCTTTTCGTAATGAATCAAACTTTTTTTCAAATGGTTTTAAACTCTATAGCTGGTGAAGAACACTGAAAAAATAAAAACTAAAAAAAATGTTGATTTATTTTTAAGAACAAAAATTTTTAATTTTTTTTTAATTTTTTATGGAAAGCCATAATAATTCTTGAGCGATTAGTGAAAACATCATAAAGATAAATCTAACCGTTCCGAAGTTATGAATTAATGACTGAGTCCAACTTTTTCGAAAAAGTGTCAAAAATGCCATGTTTTGACCCCTATAACTCCGGTAAAACTCAAAATTTCGCAAAACCGTTCAAATGAAGTTCTTATATTTTCGTTGTGAACCGGAAAAGTAAAAAAGTTCGATGAAAATCGGACCTTCGGAACAGGGGTGGCCCACTTGGCAGATTTTGACTCACCAACAAGACAACTTTCCGCTCGGGGTCTCAAGTTTATCTTCTTTTTTCGCATTATAATGTAAGCCAGTTAATTCTGTGATGAAATAATTAGTGGAGAAGAGATGTCAAAAATTTGACAGTTCATTTTCAAAGAGCGAAATGTTGGGCCAGGTGTCTCCATCCCGCAAAATCAGCAAAACGTACCCATTTAACTTCTAAAACTCCTTTTCCTTCCTCAAAACAAACACATTTTAGTGTCTACCGCAAACGCGGAATTCAGATTCATTAACAGCATTTAATTAATTGCTTGGCGCCGCCGAAACAGAAACTGACACTGAAAGCCGCTGTCAGCTGCCAAATAGCTACAAACGTTTTAGCCCCCGGCTAATATACATATTATGGCACCCAAGCCCCAGCCAAAGCCCAACCGAACCCGAATCCAAATCCAAGCGTGAACCCGAACCCATCGCTTGACATTCGCTCAACCTGCTAAATGCTAATTACTTGGCGTTGATGATGTAGCCGACATTCGGGCTGTCAGAAATTTGTCGCACTCGTATTGCCATTCGAGTGCACTCCAAGTCCCACACTCAGATAAAAAGTAACATTATTAATAATTATAAAAATATTCTGTCTTTCTCGAAAGTTTTTAAATAAGTTACTACTTTATAAAAATAAAGGTAATACAAGAAATTAAATGGCTTTCCGTTTCATTGCTTTCTGAATAAATAATGTTTTGTTGAGTTTTTATGTTTGCCCTAAATATTTCTGCAAATTAATTTGAAAAATATTTTTGTATTTATTTGTTTTAGATCCATTTGATTTTCCAAGTGCTGTTCAGTGGGAATCATGAATGTAGCTCGGCCGATCTAATCAAATCATTGCCATACCGATTAGCCATATTTATGGCTCCCGTTTGTCACTGGTATTGTTGTTATGGCCGTTGTCCATTTGGCCGCGTTAATTACACGGCTGATTGACATTAATGCTTTCCATTGGCCGATGGTGTTATTGGCGGCAAGTCCGATGGCGATCTTGATGCAACAGCTGATTTAAATGGCTATCTGGCCTCAGGCGTAAGTGATGCAAACATTGCCGTTGATTAATGGCATTAAAATAAATTTAATATGCCATTAAAATGATTCTGATAAATGTGGATATTTTGGAAGGAATACCCTTCCATTTAACCAAATGTGTTCCAAACATTTTCATAGTAAATGCAATACTTGCATTATATTTACGAGGGCTGTCTGATAAATAACCGACCTAACCATGATGCACGCGACTTTTTCAAAAAATTTTTTTTTATTTTTCTACATAGTCTCCTTGTAACTGAACACACTTCTCCCAGCGATGCTCCCATCTCTGCAACCCTTCCAAATAGTACTTGACGTCTTTGTCTGCAAAATACGAGTTCACGAAAGAGATTGCCTCCTCATTTGACGAAAATCTCTGGCCGCCGAGCGCAGTTTTAAGTTGAGGAAACAAAAAAAAGTCGCTTGGTGCTAGATCCGGTGAATAAGGTGGATGGTCAAGCAGTTCGAACCGCAATTCGTGGATTTTCGCCATGGCGACTGTTGAGGTGTGAGATGGTGCGTTGTCTTGGTGAAACAAGACTTTCTTTTTTGCAAATGTGGCCGATTTTTCGAAATTTCTTCCTTTAGCTTGTCCAATAATGATGCGTAGTATGCTCCTGTTATAGTTTTTCCTTTTTCGAGATAGTCGATAAAAATAATTCCATGGCTGTCCCAAAAAACACTCGCCATCACTTTCCCAGCCGAATACACAGCTTTGGGTTTTTTTGGGGCCGGTTCCCCCTTTTCAATCCACTGTTTAGATTGGATTTTTGTTTCGGGCGTATAATGATGAATCCAAGTTTCGTCTACAGTTATCAATCGGCGCCAAAACTCGGTCTTATTGCCTCTAAACTGAGCCAACAGAGCGCTGGAAATGTTCATGCGCGCACGTTTGTGGTCTAACGTAAGCAAACGCGGCACCCAACGCGCGGACAGCTTTCTCATGCCCAAATCTTGGTTTAATATGTGACAAACACGTTCTTTTGACATCTTCATAATCTCAGCTATTTCCCTAACTTTAATCCGGCGGTCGTCTAGTACCAATTGATGAACTTTAGCGATGTTATCGTTAGTGGTTACAGTTTTTGGACGCCCAGGACGTTCATCATCTTCCAAGCTCCTGCGACCACGTTTAAATTCAGCTGCCCAAAATTTTACGGTGGTAAACGATGGTGCAGAGTCACCATACACAGAGTCCAACTCATCTTTGATTTGTGAAGGCGTATTGCCTTTCAAAAATAAAAATTTAATTACAGCTCGATATTCAATTTTTTCCATTTTGGGGAAATCACCGAAATAGACTCACAAAAACGACTGTCAACAGATAATTGCGCAAGATAAATTTCTGAAATTTTGGCGAGTAGCTTTTATAATATGCACAATTTGAAGTAGACACTTTTTTTTCAGATGTGCCGCTATCTTGACGTTGAGGTCGGTTATTTATCGGACAGCCCTCGTACAGTGAACGATTTTTTTTAGGTGATTAGCTGGATTAAATTTATTTGTTTTACTTTTTCGATAAATTGTAATTTCAAATATTTTTAATATCAAATAGTTTTGCAATTTAAATAAAATGCACATATTAAATCATGCGTTATGCAACATTGTGTTACACATTTTCATATTATTTACAAATAAACACAGCAGTGCTTGATTTCATTTCAGATATGCTGCAACTGTAATGTAAAACTTTCCAATTAAAACGTCCAACTGAGCGTAGGCTATAATGGCCACCAACAACAAATTTTCTACTCAATTTCATGAAAAATTGATAAAACGCTTTTCAATTGCTATGGAAACTTTGTAAGCCGATTCGCATGATACTGGCCGTGTTGTAGCTACTGTAACCCAGCTAAGTCCAAAGCCCCTCAATGTCAGGCCGTGACAAAATCATGGCGATTTAATGCGCTTCAACTAATTACTCAACCCCCAAAGCTCCTCCCGCGGGAAATGCCACGAGCTGCCAAGCCGAGCAACAATTTAAATGACACTAACCGATGTCGAAAGGCGTCTGGAATAATAACATTTCTTGGATTTTAGACGAAGCTATTGCTCACTTAATGGGCGTTAATTCGGGGCTGTTAATCGGCTTAGGCTATTGGAACTTAATTGGTCTGCCGTATAATATTTAACTTATTTTAGCCAATATTTTTTAAAATTTATATTTGTAAACAGTTTAGTCAATATAGAAATTACCAATAGTACCTTAACCTCTTTTTGTGTTATTTTGAAATAATATTTGATGAGGCAGATCGTGCCGCCTGATATGATTTCACGTACGTTTACAAAGGGTATTGGCACGAAGCGCTCTCATTAAAAAAGTTTTCCCTGTGATGCGTGGAAAGCCATTAGATGGCCATGGCATTGGATGGAGCTTTCCACTCTTTCACACCCTCTTGTGTGTGGATCTCGCAGCAGCATTAAAAATCGCTTTTACAAATGGTGCCATAAGCTCTTAGGCAAACTTTTAATGTGCACACACCCAGACACGCGCATAGTTGGTATCGCATGAGGGAGAAAGATTTATGTGGCCAACGCGGCATATGAGCACTGCGAAGTATTTTCAACTTTAACACGGAGCCCGAACTGGCCTACCGCAGTCCCCCGTCCAAGTATTTAGATATATATTAAAAGTGTCTAGATTATGCCACACTAGGCAGCACAATAAACAATACACACAATAATAATAAAAAAAGAACGAATAAACTGCCACTAAATGAAAATGTTGTCCGACCTCTTTCATGGTCAATAAGATCGGAATGAAATGGCAACATTTATATTCCACTCGATGCAAATGATAGCCAAGCAGCTCGCTTTTAACAATCATTTTTTACGCCACTTTAATTAAATTTTCCCAC